AGTGCTGAATAAAATCAATTTTGTTAAACAACTCACTATGCTCTTACCTATACAGCTAGTATGTTATTAGGTTTTGGCACAAAGGCATGTCACTAGCTACTGTTAAACTTGTTGCTTGGAAGGACCCCATTTTTTCTGCAAAGGTGCTCTCTAGCCACTCAGTCTTCTAGAAAGTTCTCTTGTGAGAGGTTGTTCTGGCAGGACTTTGCATTTAGTGAACTTCATCAAGTTCCCGTTAGCCCACTTTTTACCCCTACAAGGTCTCTCTGAACAGCAGTCCAGCCCTCTAGTGAGTGTGTCAGTTTCTCCTCTCAATTTTATATCATCTCTGAACTTACCAAGAGGCACTTTAACCCATCTTCAAGGCTGTTAAGAGATTAAATAGTACCATCTCTGGTATGGACTCCGAGGGATGCTTTTAATTGCAAGCTGCAAGTTGGAGTCCACACTACAGATCTTCACCCTTTGAGCGTAACAGTCCAACCAATTTCCCAGTCAGCTTACCTACTTTTCAATTCAGACCTCAACTATTTGACAGTAAGGAGGTGGAAGACTGTCTCCAATGCATTGCCAAATTCAAGGTATACGGTGCTGCCTGCTCTCCCTTTATTCTTAGAGCCAGTCATCTCTTTACAGAGGCAGTCAAGTTGGTAGAGCAAGTTTTTTCCTTGGTAAATCCATGCTAGCTGTTTCAAGGCTCCTTCTTGTCCATTAGGAGGCTGGACATGATTTCCAGGATGATTTCCTCAGTAACTCCTAGGAAGAGTGTCGAGGCCTTTATTTCTCCACATATGAGTTCATGTGATGTTTGCTTCTTATTTTTTGTTTGTTTCTTCTTTTTTAAAGAAAACGTAGATTTCAATAGCAGCGGAATAGAAGGGGACCAAATCAATTGGAGTAGAGATATTCACTTTCCAGAGAAAGAACCATGTAAAAATCAAGTCTAAGAACCTTCAATCCCCCAAGCACTTGAACAAGCAGTACAGAAAACCTATGAACATTTGGAGACTGTTAAGAAAGGTACTGTAGCTGCAGCCAGCTAGAATATGTACTACAATTAAAAGAATAAAAAAATACCCCACAACTACTATCCCAAAATAGTCTTATAAAGCTGTCAGTGAAGACTCAATGGGAAAGTTTTTGTGGCCCTCACAGATAAAAGGTCAGCATTTAAAACTTAAGCTTGCCTTGGTGAGAACAGGTAGGCCAATAAACAATGACAAGATGAAAGCAACTGGGGAGTTGAGTAGGCTAAAAAAGCTCTTAAAGAGTGCTTTTGAAAGATGCATAAGCTGTGATAGTAAAATTTTGTTTCAATAAAGAGAAAAAGAAGGCAATTAGACATTTTTAAAGTTTGCTTTTTGATAACTGTAGAAAAGCATACACTGTGTTTGCAGTGCCATAAAAGAATAGCTGAATGGATTTTTGCATCAATCTTATCTGTTGAAGATGTTAAGAAGATGCCAACAACTCATGTATTCTTTGTTTTGCGTAGATCAAAGGTGTTAGATCTGTTTGAAGTAACTGTACAGCAATTATGAGGTCAAGTAGATAAGTTATTTATTAATATCTTGTTGTTAATAAGCTGAACTATGAAATTACTGAACTGTAACGTCCTTGTTGACGATGTAACTCCCATCTACAAAATGGGCTCTAGAGGGAGCTGCAGAACTGCTTGCATACTTGAGAAAATGGCAGTCTGTCTTTAGGAAAAAGAGGAAAATAAATCAGTGAAACAAAAAAGGAGAGGGAGAGAGCACAGATCAACACAGGTAGAATAGCAGAATCATGGAATGCATTGAGCTGGAAGGGACCTTTAAAGATCATCTAGTCCAACCACACTGCAGTGAGCAGGGACATTGCTGACTAGATCAGATTGCTCAGAGCTCCATCAAGCCTGTCCGGGGATGGAGCCTCCACCACCTCTCTGGGCACCCTCATTGTAAAGAACTTCTTCCTGTTATCTAATCTAAACCCAACTCTCTCAGACTGTCCTTGAAGGAGAGGCGCTCCAGCCCTCTGATCATTTTTGTGGCCCTCCTCTGGACATACTGCAACAGGTCCATGTCCTTCTTGTGTAGAGGGCTCCATAGTTGGATACAGTACTCCAGGTGAGGTCTTACCAGAGCATAGGGGCAGAATCACCTGTCTTGACCTGCTGGCCATGCTTCTTTTGCTGCAGCCCAGCATGTGATTGGCTTATGTCAAGATTTTCGTCCACTAGTATCCCCAAGTCCGTTTCCGCAGGGCTGCTCCCTGTCACATCATCCCTGAACCCATATTGATTACAAGGATTTCTCCAACCCAGGCACACTTGGCCTTGTTGAACCTCATGAGGTTCACATGGGCCCGCTTATCCAGCTTGTCCAGGTCACTCTGGAGGACATCCTATCCCTCTGGCATATCAGCTGCACCACTCAGCTTGGTGTCATCTGCACACTGTCTGAGGCTGCACTTGATCCCACTGTCTATGTCATTGATGAAAATACTGAATAGCACTGGTCCCAGCATAGAGTCCTGAGGGACACCACTAGTCACCTATCTCCATGTGGACAATGAGCCATTGACCTTCTCTGGGTGTGGCCATCCAACCAATTTCTTATCTGTTGAAGAGACCACCCATCTAATCTCCTGCTTAGAGAGAAGGATGTTGTGGGGGATTGTGTCAAAGGGCTTGCAGAAGTCCAGATAGATGACACCCATTGCTCTTCCCTTGTCCCCGGTGTAGTCACTCCATTGTAGAAAGCCGCTAGATTGGTCAGAGGGGATTTGCCCTTGGTAAAGCTGTGCTGGCTGTCTTGAGTCACATTCCTGTCCTTCGTGTGCCATAGCAGAGCCTCTAGGAGGATCTGTTCCGTCATTTTCCCAGACACAGAGGTGAGGCTATGTTGGCAAAACATCGATGTGGCTCCTGTAAGGGGAAATCCTGCTTCGTTTACCTGCTGGAATTGTAGAAGGGTGACAGTAACTATGTGGTGACAGTAATCTGATCTGTTTTTTCCAATTGGTTTTGACAAGGCTTCACATGAAAGGATGTAAAGAAATTCCATTACTCTAAGATTGGAGGAAATGTCCTTTTGACAACAGTGAACCAGTTAGAGCAGAGGAAACAAAAGTTTAGTACTTACATGCCAGTTTGAGGACGGAAATTTGAAATCAGACTGCAGCAACTGTTAGACTCGTGGGCTTTCCTGACTACCATTTGCTTTTGCCTCTGCTGGAAATGCAGCACTGGTGATGAATGGACCCAGCGCTGGTCTAACATATTTAGGCATTTTTAGTGTTCATGTAAGCCCGTCATTGACTTGTATGAGTGGGATGTTGCATTACACATTATGATTTTTTTGTCTAGGCTTGTCTGAAATATTTCCAGCCTAGATAACTTCAGTTGGAGACAAGATTTCACAGACAAATGAATTTATTTGGAAGTGTTTCAGGTATTGAGACTATAAATGCACCCCTTTACCTATTCCATGTAATTTATTTATGCGTGTCTTTCATCATTCTAGAAAAAATCATTATGTAAAAGTTAAATATTATTTTATCTCTGCAATTGTCATTGCATACTTGTGATGTAGTGTGCAGGGAGGCAGTATGCATGTATATGTGCACATAAATGTGTGTTCATTCAAGTAATGTTTCTAGAGTTGAAAAATAACATGTTTAGAAGATAGAATTTCAACCAGGAAGCATGTAACGTTGAATACAGTCTTTAATTACGTAAAGAGTGAATGTTTTTTCTAAGAAGCATTTTTCTGTTCAGTGCAAAAAGTGAACATGCTACAAAGAGTTAGGACAGTGTGAAGGTAAAGGTGATGGTAGCGGTGTTATAGAAATTGATGATGACTGAAGTATAGGAGTTGAAAAAAGAGTGAGCAGAGAAAGTCACCTGTGAAGGCAGCTGAGTGATCTGAAAATAGCTGGAGTCATATGTCATGCAAAGAAAGTTACCTCAACTTTTTGTGTTTCTCATTTCTTTGTTCTTCACGTGATACTACTTAGAGGTGCATTTAATGTACAATGTGGTTTAAAATACTGTGTATACTGAAATACCTTTTTTAAAACTCTTTCCATAAGTTGGCAGATATTTTGGCCCAATTATCTCTGAGCCTTATCTCAGACGGATTTTGTAAGGCATAAATTTCATGTGAAGCAGTTACATGCTGCTGCTCAGAGTACAGCAGAAATTTCTGTGTGGAAAACAGCAATCCAACCTTCAGAATAAAGCTAGAACAGAATAATGTGTGTTTGTGTAGCATATGAGTTATATTATAAGCAAAATCTACATATTAAATGACTATATTAAATGTTTGTTGTAGAATTTTAAGCTAAAATAGGTGACAATCTTACAGCTTAGTGCGCAAATGTAGTTAAAGGTTGTGGCAGAAAATACAAGTATAAATGAACCATTTAAATTAATGTCTTTCATTCTAGCATTTCTCAATTTGACTTTGAGACTGGCAACTTTATTTGTATTTAATTTTAATAACACTAAAACCAGGAGTTTGGGTATTTTGTTGTACAGACCATATGGCAGAATAAATTGAAGTAGTGATATGGTAGGAGATCAGGGAAGAAGAGATTTTGTTAGCAAGTTTTTCAGATAGTCACTGGAAGAAGAAGAATGGTAAGTTATCAGGTTGGCTGGTGGTTTCCCCTGAGACTAAATACTTATTCCCCTCTTAACAGGATTCCACCTCCTGCTGGTCTCCTTTTCATCTCAAGCATTTCTTTAACTCAAAAGGACCAGTGTATGTTACAGCCAGCATTATATCTGAATTTTACAAATTCATGTTTGTAAATTTTAATCAGCTCTTGTACAAATGAGTTCTTATATTTGAAGTATGCTAAGTGTCATCAGCTTAGAACTAATTACTGGGTGTTGATAACATTTTCCCCAGTAATAAATTGATATGGTTTTGGCTTAATTTTTTTCTTGGTTTTAATGGCATCTCTGTGATTGTTCTGCAGTTTTTACTTTTTTATTTCCTCTATTCTAGACTGAATCTTGAAGAAGAATTGAATCAGATGAAAGTACACCAATCTGGGGGTAAGTTCACAATATAGGAGTTTATATTTACAGGAAAAAAGTCTTAGTCAGATAGGCAGTATTGTATCTTCATCACTCCTCTGATTCTTTGTATTATTTGCTGTTCCTGAATAATCTGGGAAACATATTCAGCAGTGCGTAGTTATGGTCAAGCTAGGTCTCACATCTGTAGTGAATTCCTTATACACAGTACTGTGGAAAGGGAGTCGGGGACTTGGAGAAGTACTCTGCATCTCTTTAGCAATAAAGTTTTACCATTCTTTATCTCAATTTTCTGTTGGTGGCTGTTCTCTTTTTTGTCATTAATATTGCCACTTGGAATAGAAAGTAAAGATTTTTTTCCCCCTTTATTTTAAATTTGGTTTATAGTATCTATAAAACTAAGTAGAAATATCCAGCTGCTGAAGACTAAGGTTACTATTTTGCTTTACATTACTTCTTATGTGTTCTCACAGCCACAGGGCTGAAGGGAACTAGTGAAGGTTTCAAATACTGACGTTAAAAATCAGCTCTTTGTTTTTGTGAATTTAGTCAATCTTTGCACAGAGAGAAGTGGAAAAACAACCAGCGGTGAGAAGGAGTTGAGAGCCTGCTGAGCAATAACCATGTATTTCCAAAAAACAGTCAGATCCTTGAAACTGCCAATTCTTGACATGTTTAGTGCTTTAACAATTAGGTTTTTATTCCTTTTTTTTCATTATCTTTTCAGATTAAAACATAGCCTCTTTTAAAAATGTGTGGGTGGCTACACACTTCCAGTTTGGTTATTGGAATAATGGTTAATTGTTGTTTTATGGGGACTACCTACTGTGTTAAGCAAAATTTTTTTACCTTTTCCAGAATTTCTCATTATAGTTATCATTTAGATGGACATTATTTTTTTTATGAGATTCAAAACCAAGCTCAAAGATACGTATTAAGCAATGTTTTTCAATAGCACGTAAGACTGAGCTGATTCTAGCAATTTTCACACTTTACCTAACTGAAATATCAAAAAGTAATTCCTCACCCAGTCTATAAAAAGTGATTTACTTGTTGTTCCTCTTGCAAATCCTAGGGTATTGCAGTGTGGTGGACATTTTTATCAATTGATTGACATTTGCTAGAAGACTACACCATAATAACTAAAGCTGGATCTTCGTCTTTGAGCATAAATGTGTCTATGTGAGCAGTCCTTGCTCATGCACCAAGAAAGTGTGTACACTCTCTGCGCTAAAATGGGTGTTGAATGCTTTTGTCTTCTCAAATAAAAGTTCAGCCTCAGGTCTGTTACCTGTTTTCTGAGAGTCCAAACTTCACAGAGTCTGAATACACTTTGTTCAGACTTAATAAGTACATTTTCTTTTCTAAAAGTAAACCTGACATGAATTTATCAATGATACTGGAGTTCAGTTTCACCTGTTTCCATCAGGCATTCAAATATCAAGGAATAAATTCTCAGAAAAAAGCGGCTGAGCTTCTCTGTATTAAAAATAATAGGTTCTACCCTCTTGCTTGATTAGATGTCAGTTGTGTTTGTCAGGAGGAAGTACTGGATTGCTTTGCTGCTCTTCTGTGTAGTTTTTCAAACCTTGGTGGTCAAAGATGAAGGAGGTCAAGCGAAAAGGAAACTCGGCTCCTGCCATTCCCAATTTCTTTTCATTTTGATTCAGGTGTCCAAGGCGACTTTTTGCCATTGAAATTTTTTTTTCCAGTGGTCATCAAATCCAAATTCACTGTTTATGGTCCTGATGTCATTTTCTGTGTAAGAATGTAAAGAATGTGTTGGCAGGTACTCATGCCATTTCCTCCGGAAGTGGGAAAGTGAGTCCATCTAATCCTTTTCAGAAAAATAACAAATGTCTTACTAAAAGAAAAGTCACAGGTTCGATCCCCGCTCAGTCCCCATGTGTTGCTTGATCTAGTTGAGAGGTGTCCCTGCCCATGACAGGAAGGTTGGATTAAATGTTCTCCTAGGTCCCTTCCAGCTTAGGCCATTCTATGATTCTATGATTCATTTGAGACTTCTTTTGAATCTACCTTGTCCCCAGCAAATGTGTGGAGGTCCATGTAGGTCCCCTGTGAGTAGCTAATACACCACTCTGTTTTGGTTTTTTTTTATAAACTGATAGTTTTTTTTCTCTGTGTGAGCAGGCTTTCTCGAAATACCAGTGGTGAACTGTAGCATCATAATTCAAGTATCATTTTGGCAGCGGTCTTGAAGAAACTTATCATTAGATTTGGTGACTATTAATTAGACATTGAGTGTTATCTGACCGTTAACTGTGTTTTCTCAGTGGGACGTAAGAGTAATTCTGTAAGACCAGGACAATTTCATGACTAAAGAGAGTGGGGCTTATGCCTTGTGGGTCTATTCCTTGAGGGAGAACTTGGTATTCTTCTGTGCAAGGGTATGATGGATAAATTTTATTTCTTGCTGAGTAGACTGGAGTGGTGAACCTCTCCACTGTCATAGACACACAGTTACAGGTAATGCTCTTTCATTGCCTCCCTAACCAATTTCTGTGAAAAATTACAAAACAATTAGAAGACAAGAGGGGAAAGGGGACTGAAAAGTTCATTTATTTTCTGCTCAATGGAAAGGGCTATGCATCAGTGACCATTGGCTTTTCTTTAATTTGTGCTGCTTGTGACTTCTGTGATAATGCTGAACAGGTATAGTCTTTTCTGTTTTGCAGTAGTACTGTTTATTCTCTGCATATAATATGTTTATTAATAGAGTTTTAAACTGTATTTTAATACATCCACATAATAAACATTGTACCTTGTGTGCTTTGATCAGTTTCTTTGACTATGGGAAATCATTTTTTCTTTTCAGTGGAGTACAGTAAATGCTGATATAAAAGCTGCAGCAGACATTCAAATGAGTGAATATTTAGAAAAGATGAAAAGCATGTTCATATTATCTTTGTGTGTTACTTAAAGAATGTTGTAAATGTATGCAGTACCACTGTGCTGGGGGACTGTAGTCTGAAATAACATGGGAACTAACATATTAATATCAAGGTAAAGGTACATATTCCCCAGATACGTAGTTTTACCTTTTTCAGCTTTTATTATCTTTAGAATAGTGTTCCATTTATTTCATGAATCCAGAAGTATTAATTGGCCATGACATGTTCCAAAGACAAAAGAAAGGTCTAATTCACTCTAACAAACTTGTTAGTCACTGTTTATATCAAGAGGATTGTGAATCTATAGAGAGTAACACTGTTTTCTTCTACATTTACTTTGTTTATAAATCAAAAGTTTTTTAGTGACCTACAGTGTCTGCTTGTGGTTTGAAACGATACTTCTAAAGCAGACCTCCACCACTGTAGCACAAGTATTTATCCCTTAAGATGAATTCTTTAAGTTAGTGGGAGGGGGAGAACAAAGGCAAGAAAAGAAATCTGAATATTGTGGTGTTTTAAAGTGTGAGGATTTTTATGTTCTTTAACATAATATTTCATATTCTAACAAAAAGTTTTTCTGAGGTGTTTAATTGCTCATTTCTGTGAGCAGTGGGCAATTTGTGAATGTTAGACTCTTGATTCAAATCTTAACTTTTTTTTTACTTCTGATTTACCATGCAAGTTAGTACTTTTAGACTTTTTCTTAGTATTCTTCTCTGTGAATAGATATAATTTTTAGCTTGTGTTTTTCTGTAGGATTTTTAGTACCGAAAGTTCACATCTCTCTCTGAGAGTGTTGCGTAGAGTCATGTTCACTCTCATTAGTTGTATCAATTTCTTAATTGTTATTGAACTCACTGTATTACAGTGGAATAATTTGTGTGATTTATCTGATGAAGTACATGATCTTTCACTTAACAAAAAAGTGGTTTAAAGTTTCATCCATCATAATTCTGTTACTATTTGCTTTGTTCACCAATCACTCTGATCCTCCTAGCAGGGGATAAGGCCTGGAGAACAAACCTGGGAGTGACTGTGTAGATAAAAAGGCAATGAATTCTGCTTTTAAGGCACAGAGGGAATAGTCTATAAAAGAATAAAAATTGAAAGTACAGCCTCTTTAACCTGCAGATCTATTGTACCTTTGAAAAGCTTGTACTCTGAAAAAAACATACTGTGATGCTACAAAGGTTCATAATTATGTGACGGAACACTTTGAAAAGAGGTCACTCTTTAGAAACTGACCAAAGGCTTGTCAAGAAGATAGACCGCATTATAATTAATTGCAGAAGTAAAGAATGCGTTTCCTTTAAATATCTGGGTATTGTTTTAGTGAAATACAAGATGTCACAATGTATTTTATATATTCTCTGACAGAGATGTATTATTTATTTTCTGGCAGAGCTGCTTTTCAAACTTAGTAAAGGTGATGGGGTCAAGAACAGTACTCCAAAGAGGAATATGAAAGAAGTTTCACATCAGACATTACAGAAGGTAAGACGCCAAACTCAGCAAACAGAAAAAAATTTTCATATAAGAACTGTATATATTAATCGGTATTCATTCGTTTAGGCCATGATGATTTTCCTTTTCTAATTCCAAAATATGGATTTCCAAAATTGCATCAGAAATTAATTCTGGTGAAGTAGCTTTGAATCTATCATGTGAGATAAACATGGTTAATGTCAGAGAAAATGAGAAGAATGTTTAGAGATATAATGTTAAAAACTAACAAATTATCTAAATTGGAAGTAACATATGCTTAGCATTTTACCACTTTTAAGTTCAGAAACTTTTATTTCTTTTGCTAGGTACTTAACATTACAGGATATCAGGTGTTAAATCTCCATAGAGCGCTTGCTACAAAATAAAATTGATGCAGAATAGTGATAAGTCGACCTTTTTCTGTGTTTGAATTTTAGCACAACATTGCATATGCAAGTGTTTTCTACATATGTGGCTTTATCACTCTTTTCACTTGATAGTACCATATGCATTTAGTGTTCTTTGGCTTAGCAAATATGATGAGTACTTAATCTTTACTGCTCAACATTCTACATGTTTTACCTCATACAGTAACAAGATATTCTTAACTAGTTGCTATTTGTATTGATATTTGTAATATACCCAAGTAGTTTAGTATGTTAACAGGTGTTCACTTAAGAGGGCTCACTTGTATTTTACCATATGTTTTGTTTGCTGCAAAGAAAAGACTTCCTTCAAACAGTATCATGCCTTTTGTTTGTCATTTTGCAAAACAATATTTGTTTAATTACTTATAAATCTTTAAAAGCATACTTAAATTGAATAAACACAAATCTGTAACTTTGAATGTCAGTTCAGGTATGTCTATTTATTTGTTATTTGTGAATTACCTTGTAGGAAGTATGGTAATTTACAGCAGATGATGTGATTGCATATACTTGTAACACTTGCCATATGGTCAGGCAATGAAGGCTGTCATCTCGTTATTACTGAATGACAAACATCATGTTAAAATAATAACACACAGAATAGGAAGTGCTCACATTCATTTATCTTAAGATAGAGTGAGTAATTGAAATGATATGAATGCTACCATCTGAAATGTCACACAGTTTATGCATGCTTATCATCTATATTTCAGAACTATAATTTTGTTTGGCAAGTACTACATAATTTTTATCTCTATGGATATATAGAGTTAAGATGGTGCCTTAGGGATAGGTATAGAAGCTATTCATTGTTTCCTTCCAGCTGTCATACATGACTTTAACTGCTGGTGAGTGCACAAAGTTGCTTTAAAGAACTGAAAAAAAAAAAAAAAAGCAGAATCTCAATTTAGGAAGGTGGTTGAAGAAGGGTGCTTGTCTAACTCCTTATCATTGGGGAGGAACGTATAAACTATGATTTTAATCATAAACTTTGGCTTCATTGAAGCATCTGGAAAAATCTCTATTATTTCTAACTTCACCCAGTAACTTTATGTAGCTATAAGGCAATCTCTCTTCTTTGTGGGAGTGGTTTGAACATGTCGTATTTATTGAGAAGTATTATAGTTTCAATATTTTCAATGTGAAAGCAAGTTTTCACATTTTGTATTGCTACAAACTCATGGAATTGGCCAGTATTTTACAAGGTGAGTAGCTGACGTTGGCCATATGTAATGTACTATAGCTCCTTGAAATTGTCTTTTCTACCCACGTCCAGAAAAATCTAGAGCACATCCTACTTCCCCTAGTGAAAGAGTGGGATGGAGCTTGTACAAAACCAGCCAAAAATATTTCTCTAAAATGCTTGCGTGGTTACTGATCATAAAACTCACTCTTATGTCCTTTGCAAACTTCTGAGGAAATCCCAAAGACTAGATGTTTGTTTTGGTATCTGTTAAAATTAAAATTTCCTCTTATTTCTGGGAGTCATGAGGTTTGGTTGTTACTTTAAGCAAATATTCCAGAATAACACAGAGAATCAGTTTCTTGTTAATGTCCTTGAATATGTGTAACCTCAAAGAGCTTTACAAACGAAGCATAACACATTATACGTAGGTAAAATATGGTTCTTTAAACTATATTTGAGAAGCTTGTAAAGTGGCGTCAGCACAGATTTTCCCTTTCTCTGAATAGAAAACATATTTCAGCTTTCATATTCTTCAGGTGCTAAGCTTCTGATGTCTCTTGCTGTGATTTTGGGGTTTTTTTGGAAGACCAAATTAATATTTAGTTTATGTACTTACAGCACTTTAAAGAACTTGTTGATTTAGATAGCTAGTGCAAAACTATCTGTACTTCAAAATAGTTTGTCTTCTGAAAGTGTGTTTTTAAATTCAATTAGTATGTATAACCGAATCAGTAATAAGCTCAAGATGCATCAAGAAGGTTCATTAGCATACTTAAACTTCTGTGTCACTTTGCCTGGAATTTTAACTTCTTCTGCCATCTGCCCTTTGTTCAACAGCTGTATTATTGCAGCTAAAATGTTTTCATCTGCACTACATTAGAATTATTTTTAAATTAAGGACTATAGATTGCTTTTGTCCTTGTGCTTAATGTAACATTATTGTCATATAATAAATACATTTGAAAATATAGTTTTTCTTCTACAGGATAGGCTGAAATATTGTGAATGATAAATTTGCTTTTGTCAGGTACAACAACTAGAAAGAAGACTTAAATCTGTTGAAAGGGAATTAAAGAAACAGAAGGAAGCAAATAAAGACCTATTGAATGAGAAAAATAATTTGGAAGCATCTTTAAAAGTGCAAAAGGAAGATGCAGACACAAGAGAAAGAGAGCTGGAAACGCTACTTAAGAGGATTTGTGAAATAAAAAAAGACAAAGCAGAGCTTCAGTTAGCGATTGATGAGCAGGAAAAAGAAGCTGCCTCTTTGAAGAGCCAGATGGTAGAAGCTAACAGATTGAGGAATGAAAATGAAGATTTGCTGAGTCAAGTGCAGGAGCTGAAGTGTTTGCTGGATAAAGCCAAAGCAATGGCAACCTCTGGGCAATGTAATTGCAAGATAACAGGCACCAAGGTTAAATTAAAAACAGACAAGAAGAAACGCTCTTTGGGACAGCATGGAGCTTTTCTCAAACAGTCCATCAAGGTTATGAGTAATGTATTTGAGAACTTCAGTAAGGACGGCTGGGAGGATGTGAGTGAAAGCAGGTACGGCTCTCATTAACTTAGCCCTGTAGAGGGGACACTGTGCATATGTAAAGTACTAGCAAATGGAGATTGAATTTCAACTACTGTTGATTTGGTATTCAAAAAAAATACTGTCAGATCCTTTGAAATATCTTGGGAGGTCTTGTTCTGAGCTTATTGACTGAAATTTGCATGCAAAATTAGCCACAACTGCATGAGTATTTGAATAGGTGCCAGGAAACCCAAAAGAAGGCAATGCTTGATTTCTTCCAGTGATGCTATTTTCATGCAGTCATGAGGCTTGAAATTGACAGTTTGGCAGGTTGATTTAATTTGCTGGCCCTTTGCATATTCACCACTGACAGCTAAGGATTCCCAGGCAAGCCTACTAAGTCGGTTTAGTTATCTTGTGACATGCTGACCCAGGAGGAGAAACATTTTTTCCCCTTAATTTAGTTAGATAAATTTTGAATGACCCATTTCAACTTGCTAGCAGATGTCTACAAGCTGTTTAACATCCTTTAAATTAAGAACCATCCACACTAATTATTTCATCTGTGTTTTATGCACAGTCATTGTACTAACTTTAATTGAATGATGGTTAAAAATCACTTCTTTAAAGGTAATTGTTACTGCATAGTGTCCCAGTCATGAGTCACAAGGCCCTCAGAAAATCGTACTGGCAAGCTTCATAAACATTTAGAATTTTTGCTTCTGCTCCTACTTGCCCACATATAGTTGAAGAGGCAGCAGTAAACTACTAATTAAATGGGTATCACACCTTGTCTTTCAGTACTTTGTCCTAAGAGACATGAGAAGAAATTTCTCAAGAATGTGTTTACCCAAAATATAGAGAAGATGACAAAAGAGTAGAGAAAATGGAATTGTCTTAATAGGCTTCATGCAGGCATTACATGTCATACGGAGCAAATCAACAGTGGCAAATTAAGCCCTTCTGCTGCTTCTCCCCATGCAAAATAGGGGATTCCTGAACACAGTATCTTGATAGAGAAAGCAAATTAAAACCCATGTAATTTGTCAGTTGCTATCATTAATGTAAAGCTTGTTTGTGTTTCTGTTTAATATCACAGATCTGATTTTATGGGAAACATGGTTTTCTATTGCAATTAGTGAGCTTGTTATTTAATTTACTGTATTTTGCTTTTTAAGAAAATTGAGCAAACAAATTGTCGTTGCAATTTGAGTTTAAAGTGAAGTGGAAGGTAATTGTATTGCTTCAGTTCTTGTGACTGCCTTTTGATAACTGTAGAAATATTGGATTAGGAAATTCTTGTCAAATACTGAACATTTTTGAAAGTTATATTTCAGAGTGCCATTCTAAACAAGAGAAGTATCTGCATTTAGTTCCATCTTCTACTCATTAATAAATACTGTTCCTTATCACTAGTAGCTGTCTCTGAATCTCTGATTCAAGCTTTCAGTTTTCTAAGTACAACATTCCTTGAAAGCATTCAGATGAGAGGAACATGGACACAGTTAGAAATATCTCTGTGCTACTGTGGCACCTTCAAACTATTACATTGATTTCTGTTCTTATCAGTCAATAAGGCATACCAATGTGTCAGGACAGATTTTTGGAAACTATAAGCATGTTTTTGGTTGAACTCCTGAATTTGAAGGGTTTTCTCTGGTTAAGTAACCTCTATCTCTAAAACATTGATTTTTATGATGACACAACTTAATTTGAACTCAGTTGTGTCTTTTTAAGTATTTTGGTTTAAAAAGTAGCAAATTAAAATCACTATCTCTCAAGGGACTGTTTCACAATTCTATTTGCACAAGTGATGATGCATAGCCAGTGATGGTATAGAAAATGATATATCCAAGACTTCATGTTTTAAGATAGACTTTTTATCAGCAAACAAATTATAATCTGGGGCAAGGCAGTGAAAAACTGGAAATTAAAAGCACATTGAGTGCAAATTTAAGTAAAAATTGAAAGTACAATGACAGTTTCAGGTCATTTCCCTCCATGGCAGGCAATTTCAGTAGAAGGACTACCAAGTTTACAGAATTTAGAAGCACTCCAAAGGATGCTAGAGAGAGATTTCAATGAAGTGTGATTTCTGAGTTTGTCTCAGCCAGCACTACAAATGAAGTTCAATTGAAACAAAGTTATTGAGTGAAGTATTGTGCGTTTGTTTTGTTATCAAAAGTTAAAATGAAGGAAATTAGATATGTAGTGTAGCTTTGTGAGGCATTCACAGGCTAGAAGTATATCAAGTAGTTTTTCGTGTATGTCACTTTTGTGAACTGTAACAAAATCTGTCCTTTAAGAAGCAAAGTCTCAGACCTCTGTGTGATGTAGAGTGAAATTCCATTTGACAGAGTAGAAGTCTGTAAGACGATTTCAGAGATTTCTTCTTTATTGTGTTTATAAACATCTGTTGAATAAATCAACTTAGTATTGTTTGGGTATTATATCAATTTCTCTTCTTTCCTACGTGTGTTATTTTCTGTGTGTTCAAGCATTGGCTGTCTGGAGCTTTGTAACATTTACCTCTATTTTGTTTTCCTGAATGTGCTGTTTTAGTGACTCTGAAATATCAGCTTCTGAAAGTTTGGAATCAGTGACTGTGAAGACAGCGCAACACGTTGATCCGCTGCCAGCCAGAAGTAAACAACAGGGAAAAAACCAAATACAAAATAGTCGAAAGCCCTGCGCCATTGTTCATTCAGAAGGCAAAACACAGCAGTGTAATATAAAGGTATATAATATAACTTGTTTTGTTCTCCTGTGCAGAGTGTTGAAGTTCAGTAGCTAGTATTATCGCTGCTGTTCACTTCTTAATTGATCTGACTTTTCTTGTAAACCAAAAAGAAAATCTGCTTCCACATGTTCAAGAGTAGTTTCATTAGCATTTAGGATATTTTCTGAACTGCAAAAGTATTTGGAGAGGGTGTCAGGAGTGCAAAAGCTGATTAAAAAATGTAAAGCAATGGTAGGCTAGTCGTGCTGTCTCCCAGTCCAGACAAAGAATGCTACAGACTTCCCATTAAACTCATTCTCATTTAGAAAAGCCACACAGAACTGGGTTACCTAACCCATGAATAGGAAACAGCAACATCCCCTCCTCCCCTGTAGCGAAACGGTGTGCTGGCTTACCAAGCACAGATACCTCTCAGCTGGTTTGGTGTGTGCAGAAAGAGTTGTCTGCATTTTAGAAAGATGCTTTTGGCTCTGTTTCTGTCCGGGAGATTTTATCGAGAGAAGAGTGGGATTTTCGCTTCTTCCTAGGCCATTTGCTTTCACTGTCTGGGATTTGAATGTCTTGTCTCATTCCTAACGTCTTTATGCTGTTTTCTCATAGAAGAGGGCCAGCTTGTCATTTCCCAGGTCTTTAGGGGCTCCATACAATCTGTAAAGGATGACTCATTTTTGGACTTTTGAACAGTGTCTAGTACTTTTTCCCTTCTGTGTTTACTCAGATAAATTATATTCCTTGCTAGAATTTAAAACACAAGCAGATATTGTTGTTTCTTAGTTCAAGAAATAGAATACTGAAACAATGAACAACTTCATGCTGTTAGAAAACTAGTTTGAAATTCTGTTATGTATGGTGATATAATGAAGAGTTTGAAAACAGATTTTATTTTCTAAATCTCCAAAATTTTAAAGCAAATATGAACTTTGTGGTCTTGTTATATATTCTTGATTGTGGGTTTCCATCAAAAGATGTATTTCTCTGGCAGAAGAAAAAAAGGAAAAGTCTGCAACCATGTGTTGGTGTAGAATACACAGTATGAGCAGGTGCACATGATATATGTGAAAGTCTAACTGAGCATGCTACTCCTGTTATCTCCTGCTGCTCCTAAATAAGGATATACAAAGCAGGGAAACCAAAAGCCTTTGATCTCTCTTGGTTGGTACTGTAGACACAGCCAGTACCTCTCCTGTTAGCGTATATTGCATTTACTCACTGTTCCTACTGGAAAAGACAAACACAGATATATTTTGATACACAAATGTAACACTGGTGGATTTGGAGCATATAAGGAAGCATCCCAAGAGCCCTAGGCAGATAAATATGCTTCATCAGAAGTCCCCCGTTGCAGGAAAAGCACCCAAAAACATGGTTTGTGACTACAGAAGATAGATTTGCCAGAAGGTATAATATTGAGAAATGGGAACACCATATTTAAGCATAACTCTTAAATCCCATCTGAGAATTTAAGGACACTCACTTGGTCATGGGATTCTCATACAGGGCGAAAGGCTAGAGAAATCTAAGTCCTGAGCTATGCCTGGAGTTGGAGATGAGATCATTTATGAAACAAGGACTTTCTCAATTTTACCCCTGCATGGTATAAGTATATAATACCCTGTGCAGTATCAGAGGAGTTATTGACACTCTCTTAGAACTCATCCATACATCAGAGCTGTGGCCTAGAGTGAAGATTCCCTTTTTTAGCTGCAGGCATGAATTGTTCACTCCTATCTGCTGAGAGCTCCATTCTCTATAACATGTAATCAGCATTTCAGACTAGCGTCAGTCATCTAATTATATTTTCTCAATGTCTGTAGGATCCTCTGGTCATACTCTTTCTAGGATCATCTGGTCATACTGTAAGGGACTTAGTACTAGGTTCCATTGTTACCTTTCAGACATGAAATAAAAAAATAAGAGACTACTTGAAGGAAGCAGGCCTAGAAGAGCTTAACATCCTTTGTTTTTCTTTGCTTTGGTGTTAGAGAAGTAGGAGCTTAGGCTGCTTCTTTTTTTTCCTAGCATATCCTAGCTCCCTGTCCTTCATGTTGTGTGCTGACTGTAAAAATCTAGAATTCATGGCTAAGCTATCCTACAATGCCAGTCATTTGTTCAGTGCAGTTTAATATATAATGTTACTGTTTACTCTTTTAAATTGGATGAACAACTATTTTAGTTATGAATATTTCCAGAAATATTTTGCGTGATATCACATAGAAGTGGCAAACTGGAGACTTTAAAAATTGGATGCATTTTGCAGAATTCCAGAAGAAAAGTGTTTCAAAGTACACTGAGCATTTAAAAGCCAAGGAGAAAACACTTTGATTTTGGAGCAAACAAAAGTATGTATTGCAAACAGCATTCTTCCTGAGCCTCTGCTTCTGCCATTGAACATTTGAGAGGTTCTGGAAATAACTGTTTTTTCAAATCAGATATTTAAAAGTCATGCAGCTGACTTAAATCTTGCACAAAGGCAGGTTTTGTATTTGGATATTCATATATTTTAATGCATCTTTCAGTTAAAGCTCAGCTTCTAATCTGATGTTCCTCCTTTTGAGCTAATAGGATGACTATTCCTATTTATTTTCTCTTAAATACCTTGAAAAATAGGATATTGTTGGCTTTCAAGTAATACATGCCGTCTTTTTTCCCTATGAGTAAATCTGTACGTTATCTAAAAAGATAAGGTAGGCAGTAACAAATACTTAATTTTTCTCTGGGATTCTTTCCAAGGAGTTAGGATTTACTCGTAACAGTCTCTTATTTCCTATACATTTGATGGGAAAGACAGAAATTTTTACTCTTTACTGGCTGATATTGTAAGACTCATGTCTAAATTAAAATTCACTAGGATTTTATGTATTATTTGAATAATTTTGTTGTTTCAGTTCAAACTGGAAAACGTTGGTGTGCCATAACGAAATGTTGCTAGCTTTGTGCTTGTGTTTTTTATTTAGGGCCATCCACAGAATAAAGGCCTGGAAATGTTACGTTCCAAGAGAAGAAGGATCTACTGTCTTATAGCATCTTATCCATCAATTCTGAGCAAAAGTAGGAATATTATATATTTTTGGCAACTTCATAAGATTGACTGCTATTTCAAAACCTTTTCTGTGTTACACAAACCTGCTTACTTCTTGTTGCAGGACTTGCTTATTTAGATTTGCTTATTTTTTCAGAGCTTTAGTTCATTATTTTAAAGTGAAATTGCCATATAAAAAGTGACTATCAAACAGCATCTTTTCATCCAGTTAAAATATACTCTTGTTTTTACTGAAGCCTACCTATTTAATCTGCTGACTAAATTAAGACTTTTCATTGCATTTTGTTCTTTTTTGTCCCTTGTAGCCAACACAAATAATGAAACAAAATTAACTGTATTTTGTCTTAGACCTTACTAAAAATCTGTTAGCAAGACACTGAAGCCTTTGTTTCTGGTAATACTGATCAGAAACCAGAGCCACATTTATCTTCCAAGTACCCGTCAAGGGTGCAGTGTCAGCACTTTAGAAGAAGAACATAGAGTACTTACAGGTTAACTGCAATAATTTACCAGTTTGTTTACTAAGAAATATTTTGGAGGCTCGCACAGTGTTTTGAAGGACCAAAGAAAAATCAGAAATTGTCTTACTTATGATGATCTATCACTTTAGTAACATGCCATTTTATTTTTAGTGAACAGGACAAAAAGGAGAAATACCATTGTCCAGAGACCGGGCTACTCTGTTACTCTGCTGCAGGAAAAAATTAAATCATTGCAGCAGCAGATAGCTGTTTTACAGAATGAAAAAAAGACAGCAGTGTCTTCTGTGAAGGAATTTAAAAAAAACAATGAAAAACTAACAGCTCAGCTACATTTGGCTGATCAGAGACTTCAAACTAGTAAAGTGACTATAGAGGTAAAGTACTTTTCATTATGATGCCATACAATGTTCAGCTTAATTCTGTGGAATTTTGATAATGTTGATTTTTTATGATCAAAATTATGGAAATGTTATAGATTAGCATGTCTTATATGACATTCTGATTCAGTTGTTATGTACAAATGATACTCAGACCTGATTTACTATTGTATCAACCCAACTCATTAATCCTTCTGAAAAAGAAGTGGTTTTCATGCTGACATTTTGCACACATTCAGATGGATGAGGGAAGTTTTACTCTTAGCCTGTGGTCTGAGAACTTTCCTGAGAGTCTGGTTAGTCCACATTAATTGGCGCCCATTTCTCTGTGAAGAACAGGCACTTTTGGAGAAACCTCATGTCTCCATACACCCCAAGAATGGAGTACTCAAGGCAACTGGAGTTTTCTTCCAAAGGGTGCTTAGACCAGTTCTGTATCTATTTAATCCCATCTCTTCCTGTCAAGGTGAAAAGCTAGAAGGCGAGACTGGTAAACTTATTTTGTTAACAGCCCCAAGGATGCCAGCTTTCTTCTCTACTTCAGTCTTCATTCCTCCTTAATCCTTTTGCATACTAATATTCCTTTCTGAATTTCCCCTTTCTCATTTATATATATGTATTTTGTGTTAATCTGTATGCAGCTCCTCAGCTGGAATTCTTTTCTATTCATACTGAAGTGACTGGCCTGCCCTTTATAGTGCTGAATCAACAAACACTTTTGCAGTAATTGTCTCCTGTTGGTCACACACACATCCTGCTTCCAGAATTATAGTGCTAGAACAGATGGACTTGCTGGAAGGAGGCAGACATTAAAAAAGAAATCAAATCCCTTCCCCCTCAAACTTCTCTGCATTTCTGTCTTTGCACAGAAGGCAGAAGCAGTATCAGGAGCAGCACTTTTCAGTTTTGTAGGGCTAGGGAACTGCTAATTTCCAGAGGAGGGAAAACCTCATTTCTGTTACTCATTTTGCATAACTATTTATATATAAGTAATGAATTCTTCAAAAAGAGTTTCCAAGGTCATTGGAACCAATGGAGATCTGCCTATCTCACAAACAGTATCATAATGCAAAGTTTCATGGACGGTATAAACTTCACATAGAGTTATATGTGTAACTCAGGTGAAATATTCTGCTTGCTCAGAGATATGCATGATTTGCCTTCCTAGAAGACTACACCTTAGGTGTCCATAGCAGAGCAATGTGAGAAGTAAAATAAAAAAACCCCCACCATTATCAGGAAACTGTTAAAAAAAAGGCAAAATTTGTGTCAAGATAAGTGCTGCTGTAATATAAAAGACTGACTGTAAAAGAAGAAGTATTGTTCTTAAAGCCAAACCAGTTTACTTTCACTCAGTTTTTTGGTAAGTTAAAAAAAAAATGGTCACCAGTCTATTTAAAGAGTGGTGCATTCTAAGCAAAAATAAATAAATGGTGCTGCAGGTACTCAAGGAAAAATCTTTATTAGGCATGCACATTTTTTTCCTTCTCAGCAAACAATTCAAATTCCCTTTCTTACGACTAATTACTCTTCAGGTGCCATACTAGTGCTACCAAGTGGGAAATTTAAAGCAGAGGCTTGGGCTACTTGCCAAGTGAAAATTAAGGAGGTAAAGAACCTACACAGTCACTGCAGGGTACATGCATGTTTTAGAGATAGAACCATGAGTCAGAGAGATCAAATGGATGTAAAGCACACATTTGTGTAGGGATTTTAGTGTGTTTTATATAAGAAGTACTGTCTAGAAATGAAGTTTAAACATACTGCAAGGGAAATGACACTGTTTAAAAAAATCCTTTCACTAGCAGGATCACTGATGTCATTGTTTCTTCTCAATGCTTCCCTTACTTTAGATTTTAGAATTCTCCTGCACAAGCAGAAGTTAAAAAAACTGGGAGCAAACTATGAAAAACTGGAAGATTGAGAAAACCTCTGGATTTAGGGAGACTCTTAAACTCTTCAAGAGTGTCAAAATGACTAGCATCCAAAAATAAGTTTCCATATGTAATCATAAAGTTCTAAGTAATCTTATATTAACAGTGAACTTGTGATCCTGGGCTAAAGTAAGTATGGCATTCTAGCAGCTGTAAACATTAACATCATGGCTTAGACAAGATACCATGTTGCCTGAATTTAACTAAGAAAATAAATCCCCTAGGAGTTAAAGGCATATGTTTGTGCAGACAGTCCTTCAGTACAATCCCTATGGACCCTAGTGCTAGATCAACTCTAGATTTAAGGTTTAAATGTTCCAGATGCTCATTTTCTGACAGATTTTACAATTCATACAACGTAAGGACTGTGTGGCACCTGTTAATTTTCAGAATGTATGTACATGTTAAGATTTTGTGTATTTTTCTTGAAGATACACACAGACATGTACCTATATTTCTTTGCTTGTAGGAGTACAGATTGCTAGACTGAAGTTCTTTTTTTATTTGCAGTAATACAGATTTCTTGCTTTATTTTGTTTCTGCAAATCAATTCTTTGCATATTTCTGCAAAAAAAATGATTGTAAAGAGACTGCACCTGTGAGAATCTAAGCCTGCATTCTTCAGGGATTCACATCAAGACCAAGTCCAGAACCATCAGAAGTACTGTGGTTGCATTTTGCTATCAGTGTGTAGAGATCATAGCCAAAGCTGATGCTTAATGTAGAAGTGAAGGGATTTAGCATTTTCTTAGTCTCTTAGAAAAATGCCTGCCAGGAATTTTTTGAAAAATCCAGAAAATTTTATTTTCTAAGATTTATTTCCCTCTCTGCTGATTTCTGTCACTAATTATTGCTTGTAAGAAGAGTGCATACAACACAGTAATTATAATTAGGTTTACACAGCAGGTGTGATTCTTGTTGCAAAAGTTCAGAGAAAATGTATTGAATAAGAAACTAAAATCAAAAGCAAGTTAAGTCATTAATACTTATTTTATTCATGTCCAAGTCACTCACAGGTCCATTGCATTTTTTTGCATCAGTTCTCCAGTGTTTCTCAGATGACGTCACAGGAAAAGTTGCAATTCTTTGTGGAATGCCATGGGCATTTAGAAAGTGCGTATGTAACTTTACTTCAGCAGCAAACCTGAACCTCGCAGAATGGGAACAAGTCAAGCACTTGAACATTCTCTGTGGAGAGGCTGATGTGAAGCTTTAAGTAAAATATTTCAGATGCATTCCCGCACATATGTCACTACGTGCAGAGAAAATGCTGCACATTTTAGCTGTAAATTTGCCTAGGTTTTTTTTTTTTTCTCATAGCATTGAAAAATCTCTCCAAACTTTATTTTAGCCACTCAGTTTTCAATTAACATGTAAGGGATTTTTTTTTTTCCCTGAGCTCACACTGAGCTTTTAAAATACAATCTGCTTACCAAAAATTTGTTTATCTAGTGAATTATTTCAAGCAGGAAAAACAGAAGGGTGAAGGGCTAAACCCTTTTATTTCTTTAAGTTTTTTTTTATTCTTTTAAGTTTGTCTACATATTCTCCTATTTTTTACTGCCCAGTCTATCAAAGAACAGCTCAGAATCCAGAATTTACATCCACAAATTCAGCACTACAGCTTTGTTCTTCTTATGGTACCCAAATATCAGTAAATTTAGCATTATTCAATTACACTGAAACAAGAAACTGATGATGAATTTAGATGCATTTTAAATTACTGATTTACCTGTTATTTACAGAAAGATCTCACATTGACTCTGGTTTTCATGAGCGGATTTTTCGCTCTTTAAAGATGTTTTGTGTGTCTGTGGTTTGCTTAAAGTAAATTTTAGGAATAAGCTTGAAATTCTAAACTGAATGCTGTTTGTAATTATCCCACAGAAAGCTAAAACTACTTTTGGAACTGTCTCGCTTTTGTTCGTTACGGCAAATGTGTGAATGTTTTGAAAGTTTTAGGGGCATTTCTACATAAACATTTTCAAGTTAGAAATTCTCATGATCACATCCAAATGTTTTCTTCCAGAACACTTTTACATGTGTCCTGGATTTTTTTTTTGACTCTTTTGTCGTGGAAATACTCCAGAGCATTTGTGATTATTATTTTTATTATTGTTATTATTACTATTACTCTTATTATGTTTATAAGAATCCTTCTGTATTCTGTTTAGGAAGTCTCCTCCCAAAAGAAGAGACAGTCTTGTTTAATTTGCAAGAACTATAATCTTTGGGCACAATGTTCAAAAAGAAGTAGAGACAGTTTCTCAAAAATGTTTAAAAATTAAAACAGTTAATTTTTGATTAATTCTTTTCTTAAAATATGACACCAGTGAAAAGGTAAACCAGGTGGGATAAAAGTATGACAAAGCGGGATACGCCACCTGACCTTTCCTGAGTTTGCAAATACAGTCTAAGACAGCAAAAGTTTATCTTATAATTGAACTAAACTATGTGCCTGTGTCAGACTGAAGTCTTCTGAAAATTTGATGAGGTGTAAAGTTTACTTTTTTTCATTCTGAGGTCACACTGCTGTTATCAGTGTGTATCAGCCTTGAAGAGACCTCTTTGCAGCCACAGTAGGCTATTCAAAACTCAAAACACACCTCCAATCGATGTGTTTTTAAGAAAAAGCCATTCTTACTGGACTTACCACAGTGGTCTACACCTGAACAGCAACATCATCTGTAGGTAGGAAGAATTGTCAGTGTTGTATTTCAAACTTAAACATTACAGAATTTAAGTTCAATTTCTGGACCCCACTTGTAATTTTTGAAAGTTTGAATTGGCAATATTGGCTATATTGTAGTTTTTGTTAAAGTATTGCTGAGCATAATAAATTTAAATTCAGGCTAGGATGCCACCTTAGAAAGGCTGAAAACAGAGAGAGACAATGCTCTGTGCCTCTGTGAGACTAGAATTCACCTCTTTCAAGCCCTAGTCCTAAATTCTGCTTGGAATGAAACATGATCAGCTAGTTAAATATGTTTGTTCAATTTTTCTGGTTACTAAATGAGGAAATTTCTATATAATTTTTCCTCTACTGAACTACTGATTCGACAT